AACGATTCCTCCAGTTTCGTTCATTGATGCGGATTCATGCAATACACCACGTCTAGGAGTGTAAACGATCAATCAACAGTTGAAAAAATGTCTTGATTGAAAGGAACACTATACAATCATGAAATCGTACTAAGTAATACATTTCGGCTCTAAATAAGATCGCATGAAAACACTGAGTCAGATTCGGGAGAATGCATGCACTGTATTTTGAGAGCATATTTTAATTTGCAGGGGCGGATCTTTTTTTTGGGAGTTAAAAAAAAAAAAAGAAAAAAAGAAAGAAAAAGAAAAAAACGATAGCCCAGAACGCCTCAAATGTTATTTTCGGGCGTCTAAAACACAATGTTGTCTCGATCGGCCCAACTCTCATCCGTTTTTGACATAAATTATTATAACTTACTTCCAATATTCTTCGGTTGGCCTCTCTCTGTATTCTGCATAAGAGTCAACATACTGCGATGTGTTCCAAATACCATTTTCTTTAAAGATACTTAGGGCAAGGAGTTCATCATCTGTTTTACCCAAATCAGAGATATTTTGGCATGTTGTCGTTAACATGATTTGGCTTGCTGAGCCAAACACTTGGCATATTTCAGCGTGCAGTTGTTCGTGTTGAAGTCGTGGTCGCAATGCTCCCACGGTAGACTCTTCGTGAATGACGCGAACATGTAATACATGGCGTAAGCGACAATGACGTTGTAATAGATTCCAACGAACGCTGACACGCTAACCATCCCAAACCCGATACCTGTAAGAGAAAATAATTTTAATATACTGCAATAAAAAAGATATAATTGTAAAGAAAACCTACATTTTAATGACATATTTGTGTTAAACTTTAGGACACAAAATTGGTGGGTGATTGTAAGTATCGTGAGAGAGTGGCTTCAGGTGCTAAAGGATTCAATCTATGGTAGGACAGTCCTTGATTTCTTCAACAAATTCCTAACACAGTTGCACAAAGCAGTTAGGTACAGAGGCATCTAGACCTGCTCTATGGGTGGAGAGAGACAAGGTAAAGTGCCTCAATTTTGAGAGACCGAAATTCAACCGCTGTGCCAACCACTACCACGTAAGTATAATGCAAAACCTACAAGCACTAAATCATACCTCTGAACATAGGCGACGCTCTCCAGACTGAGATTGGACCTTGACTACTGTATTGACCAAGGCATACCTCAAAGAAGAAGATCGGCATTCCGGCGAAAAATAACATAATGGCGTAGGGTACAAGAAAAGCACCTGGTAAGAAGAATTAGTAAATATTTATCTAAACAGCCAGGCTAAAATATCTTACATAACGATTTGAAGACTATGTAGCATACGATTAAGACACTGATAGACCTTACGGACAGAGTCGACTATGTATGGCTACTGTACGTTATATGTTAAAAAGACAAAGAGAATAATTTGGAACATTATTTTTATAGGGTTATATTAAAGAATATTCTCCAAAATAGCCTGTTTTCTATTATTAAATCATCTTATGAGAGCACCACTTATGGTCATGAGTTTATTATATTTATTTGGAAAATACATTTTTTTCTACTCACCGCCACCGTTGGAATAAGCCACGTACGGAAACCTGAGACATTTCCAAGACCAACAGCATAACCAAGACAAGACAAGATGAAGTCACACCAATTACCACGGTTCGGATTTTCATCACTCCCAGATGTCAGGCTTACCTAATCCCCCTTTCATATTAAATAAAATCATTTATTCAATTTTTTGAGTGAGTTAGACTTATAATATATTATCATATTATGAAGTACTGTACGTTTACGTTTTTCTAATATCACCGAGATTTAGGTTTGCTATTCATCCTAAATTAAATGAACATGTGAACTGTTGAATATTGAATTATTCATTTGAGGCAAATCTTCATCAAATTATATATGTTAAAATAAATATTTTTTTCTTCACAATGTGAAATTATCCTTACATTTTTGGGAGCTTTCGAACCGCTATTCACTGGAAATTTTACAGCTCGATGATTGGGGGCGCCATTGGTTTGAGCCGCTGGCTTGGTCTTGGTTGACCAGTCGGCTCAAAAAATATATAGGGCCTAGGAATTAGGCCTAGGCCTATGTGTTGTAGGGGGAAAATAAAGATATTAGAGCCACCTTTGCATATGTTTAATTTTGAGGGGAATGAGCACAAAAATCTGCAGGCCTATGCCGATTAGTTATGACCCTTCCTCGGTGCCGTTCCTTAAAAATCAAATAAGGCCAAATAAAAATATTACTTGTTCTGAGAGTCACATCTCAACAAAAGTTTCCTGGACAATATTCTTTGTTTTTAAATTAAAAAAAAAATTTCCGCCTCAATTTTTTCTGGAAAATTCAGGTGGGGTGGTGAGGCTAAACATATATACTTTTAGTTCCGATGAGTTCTGGAAAACTCGGCTGATTGATTAATAATCTTTTTTGTATGGGTGGCCGTTAGGGCCAAAATACGCTACTGCCTCTATTATATAACTGCCCTCATCCGAGCTTTCGAGATTACGAGAACTTGTTTTACTTTACCTGGTGTGGCTAGTAAAACTTACTGAAGCATGTTCGAATTGTTAAGTTATTGTGTCGATTGTGAAACAACACATTAAAAATCTATTTACAGTAACAGGGTTATTCACAGTTGGCTGACATATTATTTTACGTTCCGAAGCAAAATAAAACTTTCTTTAACCTGTTTTATTTTTTGTATACTGTATACTGTGATAAATGGAAACTCACTGTTAATATTGATAAATCTAAAATTGTTGTATTTAAAAAAGAAGGAAGACTCAGAAAAATTGAAAAATGGTATTACAAGAATCATCAATTACAAATTCAAACCTCATACAATTATTTAGGTGTTATCTTTAATTCAAATGGATCATGGAACACTGCTATAGAACACAACTGTCAAAAAGCAAATTAAGGTTTATTTTGTTTAAAATCATTTATTCACCGTAACTTAACATTCATACCAATCAGTACATGGAACTTTCTTTTTGACGCCAAAATCCTCCCCATTTTAATTTACGGAAGCGAAATTTGGGGATTGTTCGATAATTCCAATATTGAAAAAAACCCATATCGAATTTTGTAAATATTTATTAGAAGTTGGAAATAATGCACCAAATGGCGCTGTTATCTCGGAGTTGGGGAGACTACCGCTTAAAATAAATTGTTTAATGACCGTTATTAGATTTTGGTTACACATTATTTCATTAAATCATGATAAATTTGTATTTAAATGCTATGAGTTTCAGTTGAGAAAAGTTAGTAGAAACGAGAACTGCTGGGCACTACAGGTTAAACAATTACTTTGTTTTAATGGATTTGGTTACATTTGGTTTCAACAGTTTGTATACGACAAAACCTCTTTTCTGAATGAATTTAAGTTGCGTCTTTGTGATATTGAAAAACAAAAGTGTATTGAGAAATTTAGTTTATATTCTAGACTAAGGTTATTCACTCTGTATAAAAAAGAAATAAGCTTAAGCTATCATTATACGAATGTTAGTATTTTAAAACACATACGGTTATTGACAAAGTTAAGATTAGGCATACTGGAACTTGAGATTGAAAAGGGGAGGTGGGAAAATATTGATAGAGACAAAAGAATCTGCAAGATATGTAATAACAATATTATTGAAGATGAATTTCACTTTATTTTACAATGCCCATATTATGCTGATTTAAGGAGCAAATATATTCCAAAATGTATTTACTTATATCCATCTATTCACAAGCTCTGTCTATTATTTTCAAATACAAAATATATTAATAATTTAGCAAAATACGTCTACTTTTTCTGTCCATTTTGTTTATTATAAAATAAGAACAATCACTGTGTAGTAAAAATGCGTTGCATATAACATCAAGAAAGAACACGTTGATTAAAGGCCAACTCAGACAGCGTCGGCCGACGCAGCCCGACCCGATTTATCGTCGGGGACAGTCTTAAGCCGTCGTGAGAAATATTAAACATGTTTAATATTGTACGACGCGACTGCCCCGACGCACACCATCACGTCTGCGTTTAACTCACACAGACCCGACGCGACAACAAATCGCGTCGAGCTGCGTCGTGCGACGCTGTCTGAGTTGGCCTTTAGTCAAACATAATGGTCCTAACATCAATTCGTAAGAAAAATTAACCCAATTCAATACAAGCAGGTTTCTTTGTTCATGTTCGAAGATATGAAACACTAACTTTTCTGTCTGTCCATCAGTCAGTCAGTGGTGGCGCCATAATTTTCCCGACGGGGGTGGGGGGAGGGGATCCGATGTCCCCGACGAAAAAAAGTAGGCGTGGTCGGGGGTCGCTCAAAATCTCTTGAAAGTGTTCTATGAGGGCAAAGCCTCCAAAAAATATGACAATTTAGGGTTTTAAAGGTTATTTAATCGATTTTGGAACCCATTAATATGTAGAAAATATGCCTACAATGCATTTTTCACCCCGCCGGATTGTGGTTTTTTTGTCCCAGACAAGGGGGGTGAGCTCTCCCGGGGTGGGGCGCCACCCCTACAGTCAGTCAGTCATGAATTTCAGGCGGTGTTATATCGGTACCTTCTGGTCGATTTACACTAAATCTCACCGGTGCCTATCTATTAAATAACTATATTTGTAACATTCAAACCTTTAGTAGTAAACTTCAGGTTAGTCAACTGTGTAGTTGAGGAAAATTTTTCGCCTGTTTCTGACTCTCAGTTTATAAAGGATTTGAGTGTACTTTCTAATTTCTAATATAATTTAGAGTTTCATTATTTGGGTGTATTTTCTAATTTCTAATATAATTTAGAGTTCCCCAAATAATAGAATAATAATATGAGGTAAAGATTGACCAATTGCAAAAAAGAAAGAAAAAACCAGACTGACATCCTCTCAAATTTCGGTCAATAAGTATAGGTGGGAAATCATTAAATAATTGAAGGCTATTTGAGGAAATAGCCCATTCTTAAGTAATAAAAGTCGTAATCATACACTGTAGATTGATAACCCTGAGTAACCTGACCGGAAACCAACCATTTTTATCAAACGGAATGCAATCAAACTGAATACAATGCAAGTATACCAGCCTAGTTACATTATAAATTGTACGTTTTAATAAACTGCAAAAATAATGGGTGGTCTAAAATGACATGTGGTTTTAGTTGCGAGAAGTATCGGGAGCCTCTCGTTTGCCTCCCATCGTAGTGTTGTAGTATTCGTGCATCTGCCAGGCCTGTGCTCGGTTTGCCTCCATCTGTGGTCCCCAATCAGCTCTGGGCCTGCTCATTACCCTCCAACGCTAAAGAAAAAAAAATAAGTGCAAGAATATTAGATCTACAAATCAATTCAATTCAAATGTATTCGGCATCGCATAAAAAAACAATTACAATATATATACAAAATGTGGTAGAAACAGTTAAAACATTAAAAACGACAGATGCCATGATTGCCCATGAAAGTCTTTTAAAAAAAACTTATTTCCAATGGGGTCCCAGAACAAAACATATTTGATAACATAAAGCGATACAGAAAATATTTCATTGCAAAAAAACATGGACATTATATGAACTAAAACAACTGCTAATAATCAATTACTTATTGATTGTTTCATTGGCAAGATGTATTTCTACAGTAACCTTAAATGAATATATTGACGGTTTACATTTAATACTTTGAGGTAGTGCGTCCCAGTCTTTGATGGACTTGTCAAACCATTTTAATTTAGCAATCAATACCAGAACAGATTAAACATGGATAATAAAAAGTGTTTTTCGCATCAAGTATCTAGTACAGTAGCCGTGACCCTGGAACGGATTACTCATCTCTCACCGTCTCTTATATTATTATATTACCAAATTACTATGGTCGCAAATCGAAATCTACCTAATATCAATGTATTACAGAATGTTTATGCAAATAATCCTATAGCAACATAAGGTTGCTGCATGGAGGTGTGTTTGTATCACGCATGACCATAAGGCCTATAGATGCGTGTGGATTTTAATATTTTACTTACGTCAGCAACGCTTCCACTTGCTTTCAGAAATTCGTAAATCATAACCAAAGGAATAAAAATGAGTGTGAGTCCAATGATTACCCAGCCAATGACACGTCCCCAAAGCGGGTATAACTCGTCATTGTATGTTGGCTCGCTCCAGTTCATCCAATTATAAAGCAACACAAACTGAAATATAAATCGGATCATCGTCAATTCAATTCAAATTGATTTTAGGTTTATTTCGGGTTAAATTTCATACAAAAACACAAACATCACAATTACAAGAAGAAGCAAAGAATAAAAGCAAATGTAGTGCTGCGAACCCGGGCTCTCCTATATTTAGTTTTCACATCATCATAACGTGAAAAGATGTGTAATGAAATGAGAATGATGGTCATATGTTAATACAGTAATGATGATGATGATGATGATGATATCGTTATGGTGATGATAATGATAATTACGATGCTCGATAAGGATTTGTGTTGCAGTTGTCATAAGTTATCTAAATTCAAATTTTGATATACTTTTACTATAAATCTCTATTGGAAAGGTCGTAAAGTTATCAGATAGCATTTTACATTTGTTAGATACAATGTCGGATGCTTCTTTGATCTTGTCACTTCTACATTTGTTAACGTCAAATTTGGATTCATAGTGCTTTGTAAGTTCATCGATGGAAATGATTATCATGATTAACACTGGCATGTAACGCCTTTCTTTTACAATCATCAACAACTAGCTCTCCATAATTTACTAGGATTCTTTTGACAGTAAAGTCTATTAAAAGAATTGTGTTTTTTGAATGCAGCATTTTTATTGACTGTACTACTTCATTGTAAAAAAATTCAGAACGCCTTGACATTTTATAAGTTACATCATCGTTGTTATTTTAAACATTATAGAATTTTGAGTTTATGAGGTCTGTTCTAAACCTAAAACCACATAGCACGTTTTTTTGAATAAAAAAAATTATTAGGCTATCTATAGGAAAAGGTTACTGGATGCCTAATTGTAATAATATTAATAATAAATAATATTAATAAATAATAATAATAATAATAATAATAATAATAATAAATAATAATAATAATAATAACAATAATAACAATAATGATAAAAATAATATTTATAAAGCGCACATATCCACTGCAGTAGTGCATATAAAGTGTTGCATAGAAATGTGAATTTTAAGATATGAATTAATCAATGCAAAGTTTCAAATAAAATTATTAACCTTATGCAGGGTTAAGTACTGTATTCAGTGTCATTTCTGTTCAAATGTGGTACAGTATGAGCATTGTGTGGGTTGTTAAATTATTAGGCATACAGCATACAGCAATTAACATAATTAGTTTGGCATTTGAAGTTTAGGGTTCAATAAATAAATGATTAAAGTTTAATAATAGTATTGCATTTTTCTTCCATATAGTATTGTATTATACAATTAAAAACCAATAGTAAAAATATGTTGTGCAGGGAAGAGCACTGAATTGAATAGTACATTTAATCATCATCCTAGCATCAAACCTCGATAAACGTATACTTTTTTATTCATATTCAAAGATATGACCTACCGGTAATTTATAAAAACTCCGAAGAATGCAGTTCTATTTTAAATCTAACTTCATGTTACATTTTCTAATAAATTTTCAAAATACAGTAATTAGCCTATGTTATGCCAAGGCTTATTTGATGATCTAACTTATGGTAGCCTAATTGTAAAGAATTTTGTTGCACAGTAATGCTATATATACGATGTAATTCAATGAATTGTTGTTTGACCTGTCATTTTGCCATTGAAAACCGAGATACTTACGAGAAGCAACGATGGAGTGATAACAGTCCAGTTCAATTGCCACCAGAGGAAGAATGGGGCTTTGTACAAGAGTGAGTCGCCAAGCATCGACCTGATGTCATTTGTAAATCGCTTGATTCCATACACCCATGTGATAGCCACGAGCTCCAGAAGCCCAAACACGATCAGACCGATACTTGGGGCGTAAGAATCAACGAGAGAAACCCAGTAAGCGCCCGACCTGGTTACGCACACCAAACCAAGTACGTAGCCTAATATACACACAACGAGCGTCACGAGTGTCTTTCGTTTCCTCAAGTAGCTGGGGCATCCATCACATATAGCAGTTACCACCGTCTCAATGGACACAAACTATGAAAAAGAAATCAAGTTATCTTGTTTAAAAGATGTAAACCTAATGTTTAAGTTAACTGCTCCAACATTCAAATAAAATAGATTGTTCATTAAAATTATCAGAATGCATTATCAATTCAAATACCGGTAAGACATAGATCAAAACCGTTTTTACTAATTTATAAGTAGGCTAGTAATTAACATGCAAAAAAGACACATTAGGCCACGTGATTCACTTTACCTGGCTGTCCAGACCAAGGGTGATCAACATTAGGAAAAATATGATAGCCCAAAACGTAGACCCTGGAAGCAGCGATAGACCTTCTGGATATACGATAAACGCCAATCCAAATCCTATAAAGATAAAAAAAAAAACAAAAAAAAAAATTTTTTAGAAATTGTTATTTTATCATAAATACCACAATCTTGCCGTCAGGCAAATACTTTTTGTGTTAAAATGTGTATCTTGGATCACTTGTGTACCAAAATTGAGTGTCTCATGGGTTTAATAATTATCGAATTACTGTATGTTATATCGACTTTTAGCAATTACGTCATCAATTTAAAAGCCCCACTGGCTTCTCCAGATTAAAACCAAAATGGAGATTGAGTATGCTCAATTATGCACAAAATACTAATGTGTAAGCTCTAACTAAAAGAAGAGTAGGCACTTTACGCAAGAGGACGGGGAGCCGTCGACAACGACAATTCGGTTTAAGCGCCCAAGTGTTTACTGTGGTCTTCACGCTCTGAGGAGCACAGAACCACAGTCGACCCGTCCTGTTGCATAAAGAGTGCCTAATATTTGGGTGACTACGGGCTTATCAGAATTATGACGTAAACTAGTGGAACTGTCATTTATATATAAATATATTACAGCTTACCAGAATCTACTACTTCTGGAACTGGCTTGTTCTGCTCAAGGGCCACGTGTCCCAATACGGAAAAGATGGCAAATCCAGCAAAGATGCTTGTTGCACAGTTTGCAAGTGATACAAAGACAGAGTCACTGAGAATGCAGAATTAACAAATTGTATAAATGATAATGTAATCATTATCCTTAATATCACTTGAATGCAAGCAATACAGTACTCTTTGTTTATTACTTTACTTATTTAGTATTTCAATGTGCTATTCAAACTTACAAGTAACCGTTGTTGTGGAAGCGATTATACGATGAGAGGGTAACCAGTCCACCCCAAGCAGCACTGAGAGAAAAGAAGATCTGTGTAGCGGCATCAAGCCACACCTAAGGGGTGAAACAAAAGTTTTATATCAGTAGGCCTATAGTGTTTTTATTCCACCCATCCAGGAAACCTAACTCCGTTCCAAATTTAAAATGGGATTCCGGTAACCTTACAACACAACTAGATGGCAATGAGGTATTCGCCAAATACATGGTGTTTAGGTCTTGATGTTAAAAGCCTGGGTTGCAAACAGGAGCTGCACATAAAAGTGATGTTTTGCCTTATGTATGAAGTTTAAATTTGTGAATATGGATTTTTTTTTAGAAGATCTGATATTAAGAAAAGTAGATGAGGCGCAAAGCCATGCAGATTTTTGTATGTAATAAAAAGGGTTCTAAATGGAATAAAGATGACACATGTAACCAATGTAGTCCCTTGAGAATGGTAGTTATTAATGTGCTTCAATTTTTTTAGCCGTCAGTATGGTCTAAATAAATGACGCGGTCACATATCCAATATCTGGTGAGATCCACAACATACGCAAAATTGTGGTGGACGAGCATCACGTGTTAGATTAGAACATGTACTAACCTGCGGTGTAGTAATATCATCCCAAACAGGTTTGATAAAGAAGTCGATACCGTCCTGAGCCCCGTCCAGCGTTACCCGAATGAGTAAGGCGAGCAATACAGCATACGGAAACGTAGCAGTGAAATACACAACCTACACAATGATTAATAGCAAATTGTTAAAACCATCATGCTATTACAGTGAGAAATTCAAACATATTTACAGACGCATACATTACAAAAAAAATTCTTGTTTATCATTAAAAATAACTACATTCTTTTGTTGTTTATTTTTAGTTAAGGACGTGAATCGCTTTATAATCCCAATGTGGTTAGATTATCTCTCTCAAGAATAATATGGTCCTTCTATTTGCAGCAGACATAATACCTATCATTAGGCATAATGATAGGTATTATATTATCAATAAATGCATATTATTGTAGCAACATTAATAATCACAATTGTTGGCACTGAAATAGCTATTGGTTTTTAAACTCTCATTATTCGTACCTTTCCAGAGGATTTGACGCCTTTGGCAAGACATAAGAAGACAAGAATCCAGGCCAGAAGAAGACACAGAGCAAGTTCCCAAACGATTCCTCCAGTCTCGTTCATTGATTCAGATTCCTGCAATACACCACGTCTAGGTGTGGAAACGATCGATCAATCAACAATTGAAAAAGGTTTTATTTTTTCTTATAATTATTTGAATATTTATTAGCAAATGTATATAGATATAGAAGTATCTAGGTTAGGTCTGGGATCCAGTACTCTAGCGATATTACACTCTCGCCATGATAGCGAGAGCAGATTCGAATCAGTTAAACTTGCCTAAGTTGACTGTGCCTTAAGTCGAATAATTTCTAATTCGATCTTATTTTACATGCCAAGTTATTGTGTTTTCCATTAACAATCTGTAAGTCGAATTTTATGAAGTCGAACAATATTTCAATGACATTATGGATTCGACTTAGGCAAGTTCAACTAAAGAGATATCTAATGTATACAATGAAATTCAAGGTAGGCTTCTGAACTAAGCACCTGTGTGAACCTTCCTTACACGACCCCAGTGACGGTGCCAGAAATTACTCCACGAGGGGCCAAGATTAAGGTCCCCATCAGAGGTCCAACGTATCTCGGGCGAGAGGTCCAAGCCTCTAGACAGGGCAAATAGCATATTTAGACTGTAAAAAATGCTTTTATGAAGCATTAAATCCATGTTTTCCAACGAAAATATTAGCTTCTTTCTTAGGGTCCCTCATCTATTACTTACTTCCAATATTCTTCGGTTGGCCTTTTCCTGTATTCTGCATAAGAGTCAACATACTGCGATGTGTTCCATATATCATTTTCTTTAAAGATATTCAGTTTAAGGAGTTCATCATCTGTTTTACCCAGATCAGTGATATTTTGACATGTTGTTGTCAACATGATTTTGCCTTCCTGAGCCAAGCACTCGGCATATTTCAGAGTGCAATTTTCCGTATTGAAGTCGTGGTTGCAACGCTCCCATGGCAGATCTTTCGTGAACGAGGCGAACATGTAGTATATGGCGTAAGTAATGATAACGTTGTAGTAGATCGCGACGAATGCTGACACGATCACCATCCCAAACCCGATACCTGTAGTAGCCCTGTCTCTTATACACATCTAGATGTGTATAAGAGACAGAATCAAGATAGCCGTTAACATTGTTAAATTATATATAAATGATCAAAGAAAGGTAAACACAGTGTTCAAATAAAGGACATGATAATACATCAACGAATGTTGTCCTATAAATAAATAAATTTTGTAATAAAAATGCCTCTGACGGGATTCTAACTTGCGATATACACGCTATTACAGAATAGGTACGGCTGGAAACAAATAGTAGCATATAACATAAATCAAGATAGCCGTTGACACTGTTAAATTACTGTATATATAAATCATCAAAGAAAGGTAAACACAGTATTCGAATAAAGGACGCAATACATCGTGTAGCATGGCTCTCAACGAATTTTGTCCTATAAATAAATAATATCTTGAATTATATTATATGTTACTATGTAACAATAAACAATAATAGATATTTGTTTTAAAAAAGACATACCTCTAAACATAGGCGATGCTCTCCAGACTGAGATTGGACCTTGACTACTGTATTGACCAAGGCATACTTCAAAGAAGAAGATCGGCATTCCGGCGAAAAATAACATAATGGCGTAGGGTACAAGAAAAGCACCTGGTAACAATAATTAGTGAATGATGATATTTACCTTAAAAGTCAAACTCGTTTATTTTAACTTTAGGCCTAGGCCTAATTATAAAAAGACTATAAAATTCCGAAGTCGCAGGTAGAGATTCTTGTTTCGATAAATCAGTATATTCATTCCTCTTGAAAATATATAGCTATTATTTGCTTAAAAGAAACGATTAAATTCGTAACATATTGTAGAGAATAAATAAACAAATTGAATAAAATATAAAAAGGCATTAGTTTTATAAATGAGCACTCTGATCGTGGTGACCTGACGTCAGTTATGAATAACACATTGTGAGTTCTCCACACATTATTCGGTGTGATAGGCCTACTGCCTGTAGATCATTTTGTACATAAATTATACGCAAAGTTACTGTAAATTATTTATATATGCCTAGAGTTATATTATAATGAAGTTTGTACTGCGGCCTTCTCGAATAAGTGCGATATTAGAAGCTGACAGCTAGTAGGTCACGCATGAGAGCGCTATCTACGGATATTGGTATTAAACTTGGAAACAATAGCTGAAAAAGGTTGTATTCGCACTTACCACCACCGTTGGAATAAGCCAAGTACGGAAACCTCCAGACATTTCCAAGACCGACAGCATAACCAAGACAAGACAAGATGAAGTCACACTTATTGGACCAATTACCACGGTTCGGATTCTCATCACCCCCAGATGTCAAGCTTACCTGATCCCCCTTTAAATAAAATAAAGAATATTTTCACATAAAATATTGCATTGGATTATTTCGTGTGACTATCTCAGTGGGCTCTTCTGGTGTCGAATTGGGCAGTGCACAGGAGACAATTCCCTACTCTTTCCCGAAGAATGTACAGTACTGCGTTCTTTAATACGGAAGCCCGTTAGTGTCAACAGTGAATAAAAATTTCAAATCAGTTAACTGGCGGCCACCAGATAATTAAGTGGCGGCCGTCATATAATGGCTATATGACTGCTATTATAAGCTATGACAAGCTGTAGCTAAAATTACTAGCTAGGCCTATTACGATCATGCGCTTTAATGGCCCGTTCTACATCGAGATAATGCTGTACCGCAACCTGGGTACCAATAAATAAGTGGCGGCTGCCAGATAAATAAGTGGCGGCCGCCATATAATATGTGGCGGCCGCCAGATAATTAAGTGGATTTTTTATTTATTTTTTTTTGGGGGATTTTTTTTCAAAAAATACATAGATGTTACCATGCTAATACTAATGGGTCGTTTAAAATGACATAATATTTGATTGAGCTGCACGAGTAATGAAAAGTGTTATTTGAACTTGAGTTACATACTGTGACAATTTTATTTATTTTTTTAGTTAGATCTGGGTTTTGCATAATTACTTAGGCCTACTGACTACTAAAAATATACGCTTTCAGGGGAAAGCACAAAGAGTAAGGATAGCGCGTTTCTCAAATGAAACAGGGTGACAGTTATTTTCAAATTAAGAGAAGAGCCGAGAATAGGCAGCTCTAAAATACTGGATGCCAAAGACCTGCCAAAATGGCAGAGCACCAATGAATGTGTAAAATGAGGCCTAAGCCTAGTTATATAGTAAATAGTATCTGCAGGTTGTTGTTGATTACAAGGCTAGACCAAGTTAATTAATGCCGAAAGGATTATTTATTTTTATTATTATTTATTATTATTATTATTATTATTATTATTATTATTATTATTATTATTATTATTATTATTAATTATTATTAATTATCATTATTATTAATTATTATTATTATTAATTATTATGTTACTTAAAACCTACCTTAAGGGGAACTTAGACAATGGATAAATTAGAGAACAAATAAAAAAACGACGTTAAGGGGAAATAACACAAAAGATATTCCCTTGGGCTAGTTATCAATATGCCTAGTAAATAGGTTCTTGATTACAAGGCTTAGGCCAAGGTAATTAATGCTGAAATGATTATGATTATTATTATTATTATTATTATTATTTAACATTAATTACATTCCAATGATAGTTTGGCCAAGTTCAATAACGCCGGAATGGTATATTTTATTTATTATTATTTAGTAATAATATTTCTCTTATGCACTCTATTTTTTATTTCATGCTTCAATTGTTTTCCCCTTTTTTCAAAATTTCAACCAACGTCATGTGAAGCGTGACTGTTGGTGTCAGCCTAGGACCTAGGGACCTAGTTTAGGGAGTGCCTATGGTAGGTAGGACTTAACTCAGCCTGCTTTAGGCCTGTAGTTTATCTTCTTTCTCAGCCTTTGGTATTACTGTACCTATCTACACTTTATAAAAGGGGGTACTAGCTGTTGTGTGTTGCTATCGTATTCAAACAAACACAATTAAATGACACAATAAACAATATTCCAGCTCTACAATAGCCATTCGTTGTTTATTCATCCACCAGTCCCGATTTAACAACATGTCCGAACAACACACGAGGTATGCTAGTCTTGTAATCCAGACACTACATCTTCCCCCTTCTTTAGCATTAAAATCACCCAATTGAATCCTTATAAATATATTGTATACAATAATAATTTCTTAATATAAGCTGGTGGAATTACATGCTTTGAATAGGTTTCATTTGTTATGATACTGAAGATTACTGTATTTGTTTTTTCCTCACTGCCTAAAACACTGTCAGTTTTTTTTTTGTTTTTTTTGTTTTTTGTAACTTTAACAATAATAAACATCATCGTAATATTACAATTTTACAATGATTATATCTTTGCTTTTTTTTTTTAAATCACATATCATTATTTTTTAATTTTCTATCATTCCTTATCATTTTAAAATATTTTAGTATCAATAAATAACACTGTATAACAACAATAACAGTTTTCAACATTTCAAGAGAATTCTCAAATTCTAGTAAAACTAAAAACAACTCATCAATATGAACTGTGACTCACATATCACATATCATTATTTTTTAATTTTCTATCATTCCTTATCATTTTAAAATATTTTAGTATCAATAAATAACACTGTATAACAACAATAACAGTTTTCAACATTTCAAGAGAATTCTCAAATTCTAGTAAAACTAAAAACAACTCATCAATATGAACTGTGACTTCTTAATCCTTAACAATCATCAAACCTTTTGGGTTTTTTCCTCTTTCTTACTGGTCTATTTTAAATATTTTCACAATTGGTTACACTGTCATCTTTCTCTGTGTCAATTTGCTTATGTTGTTCAAATGTATCTGTCTTACTGTTATCACAAATAATTTCATCATTATCTATTTGTTTCAGATTATTATTTGGTATTTTGTTACCATTTTCTTCGTTTACTCTTTCATTGTAAGATTGAACATGTGTCGAATTTCTTTTATATCTTATACCTTGTGGTGACTCAAACACTACACTATTTCCCCGTTTCTCTATTACTTTGAATGGTTCTGTGTGATATGGTGTACTCATTTTGTCTCCCTGTGTCTTTTTAACTAAAACCTTATCTCCTTCACACATCTCTCTCGCTTTCGCACGTCTTTTCTCATCAATGTATAATTTGTTTTTTTTTTATACAGCGTCGCGATCTGAAACATCTTCATCATGTACAGTATTATCCTCCAATTCTGGTAATTTTGTTCGCAATTTTCTATTCCACATCATTTCCGCTGGGGTCTGTCCAGTAATACTGTGTGGGGTTGTACGGTATGCAAATAAATACACACGTAATTCTTTCTTCCAGTCTTTTCTTTCAGCTTGCGCAATGCGAATTCGTTTCATTATAGATCTGTTCTGTCGCTCCACCTCTCCATTTGCAGCAGGATGTAATGGTGTGACGCGTCTATGTTTGATTCCATTCTCTTTCAGATAGGTCTCAAACTCAT